GCAGAAGGTGACTAGCCAGGAGCTAAACAGGGAAATGGCTTTAAGAGGCCCTTATGAGGGAGTACATCTAGTAGATTCTAGGAGCAGTGATATTCATTAATGAGGTAGAGTTTTTTTTCTGCATCACTTTTTATTTTATTCTCAAGCTAAGTAGTCTGTTAAATGTGACAACCTCTTGAATGTATGTGTTTTGTATATACTCTTTGGGGTGTGAGATGGGCTGTAGAGAACTTAAGTACAATGAAAAAATAATTGTAAGATAATCAGAAAAATGATAGAAAAGAACAGTAAAGCTATCTGGAGAAAAGTTGACCAAGAACTAAGAAAATGTAAAAAGTCCTCAGCAATATTTGCAAGGGGGGATAAATTGTGTGCATTCATGCAGCATGAAGGTTACATTATTGTAATTATTATATTTTTATAATTTGTACTAAAGGAAGAAGTGACTCCTGAGTATTGGTGAACTTGGGAACAACAGTATTCTTAAAAATGACAAGTTTTTGAGACAGAAGATGAAAGAGCAAGAGTGAGAAAGAGATGGAAACAGAGTCACAAAATGACAATGAGAGGGAGAGACACAAACAGTATTCTAAAGAATCAGGGAAAAGGGATATACAGAGGAAAAGTTAGAGCCCAGAGCTAGTGAGGGAGAGGGAGAGGGAGAGAATGAGTAAGATTTTATCTTAATGAAGTCCCAGTAGTTCATTTTTGTATTTGTTTCTTTTGCCTTTGGAGATGTATCTAGCAGGAAGTTGGTGCAGCCAAAGTCGAAGAGGTTGCTGCCTATGTTCTCCTCAGGGATTTTTTAGGAAAAGATTTTATTTATTATTTGAGAGAGAGAGAACACAAGCAAGGGGAGAGGCAGAAGAAGAAGGAGAAGCAGAATCCCTTCTGAACAGAAAGCCCAGTATGGGGCTCGATCCCAGGACCCTGGGATCGTGACCTGAGCCAAAGGCTGGTGCTTAACTGAGTCACCCAGGTGCCCCTCTCCTCTAGAATTTTGATGGACTCTTGTCTCACATTTAGGCCTTTCATCCATTTTGGGTTTATGTGTGTGTGTTGTGTGTGTGTGTGTGTGTGTGTGTGTGGTGTAAGAAAGTGGTCCAGTTTCATTCCAGGAGTCTAGGAGTTGAAGAGACTGTCTTTTTTCCATTGGATATTCTTCCCTGCTTTGTCAGAGATGAGTTGACCATGTAGTTGAGGGTCTATTTCTGGGTTTTCTATTCTGTTCCATTGATCCATGTGTCTGCTTTTGTGCCAGTACCATACTGTCACAAATGGCCACCAGACACATGAGAAAACGCTCAACATCACCAGCATCAGGGAAATACAAATCAAATAACAATGAGATACCACCTCGCACTTGTCAGAATGGCTAAAATTAATGATTTAGGAAACAACAGATGTTGGCGAGGATATGGAGAAAGGCGAAGCCTCTTACTCTGTTGGTTTGAATGCAAACTGGTGCAGCTACTCTGGAAAACAGTATGGAGGTTCCTCAAAAAAGTTAAAAATTGAGTTACCCTATGACCCAGCAATTGCATCACTAGGCATTTACCCGAAAGATACAAATACAGTGCTCAAAGAGGCATCTGCATCCCAATGTTCATAGCAACAATTTCCACAAGAGCCAAACTATGAAAAGAACCCAGGTGTCCATCAACAAATGACTGGATAAAGAAGAGGTGGAGTATATATTCAATGGAATATCACTTAGCCATCAAAAAGAAAGATCTTGCCATTTGCAATGAAGTGGCTGGAACTAGGGAGTATTATGCTAAGTGAAATAAGTGAGTCAGAGAAAGACAAATACCATATATTTTCACTCATATGTGGAATTTAAGAAACAAAACAGATGAACATAGGGGAAGGGAAGGAAAAATAAAATAAGAGGAAAACAGAGAGGGAGGCAAACCATAAGAGACTTTTAACTATAGGAAACAAACTGAGGGTTCCTGGAGGGGAGGTAGGTGGGGGGATGGGGTAACTGAGAGATGGGCATTAAGGAGGGCACTTAAAGTAATGAGCAGTGGGTGTTATATACAACTGACAAATCCCTAAATTCTACCTCTGGAACTAAGAAAAAGATAATGCATTAGTAAGGATTTATAGGCTTATAAACAGTGGAAATGAATTCAATCTATTTTTTAAAAAGATTATTTATTAATTTATTTGACACACAGAGAGAGATCACAAGTTAGGCAGAGGGTCAGGCAGAGAGAGGGGGGAGGCAGGCTCCCTGCTGAGCAGAGAGGCTGATGCAGCGCTCCATCCCAGGACCCTAAGATCATGACCTGAGCCGAAGGCTGAGGCTTAACCCACTGAGCCAGCCAGGCACCCTGAATTCAATCTATTAAAGGAACTTTATTGGCTCACATAACTGAAAAGACCAAACATTAATGTTTTTAGACCCACCTTGAACCAGGAGTTAATAATGACATCAAGCACACCCTAAGTTCTTCCCTCAGCTCTATCTTCCTCTTTGGTGATTTCATTTTCAGTCTGGCTCTCCCCATGTATTGATAAAGATGGCCAGGAGAAGATCCGGGCATATGTTCTGCCTCTTAGAAACTGTTGAAAAAAAGAGTCACTCTTCTTTGATGCTCAGGCAACATTTCGGAAATTAAGTGAGATTAGCATGGTTTAGGTCACATACTACCCTGAACAAATCACTGTAGCTAGGGGATATTCATTTTTCATTGGCCCAGTCTTTGTTTCATGCTTATCATTTGATACAGAGAGTGTGTGTCAACCTCAGCCAAATATAGACTGAGCGTGGGAGACAGTTGATTCCTTAAAATAAAAAGATGTGTTCTTTTACAAGATGAGAGGATGCTGGGCAGACTAAAACAATATATACATTTATACTTGGAGGAGACTGAGAAAGAAGATAAAAAAGAGAGCAAAGAAAGAAAGGTAAAAGAAGGAAAAGGGAGCAAAGATGAGAGAGAGAAGGCAATACATAGAGACAGAGAGATATTCTTAATAAACGCATCCAAAAGCTTTTGATCTTTATAAAATCCCAATAGTTCATTTTTGCCCTTGCTTCCCTTGCCTTTGGCGATGTTCCTAGGAAGATGTTGCTGCGGCTGAGGTCGAAGAGGTTGCTGCCTGTGTTCTCCTCAAGGATTTTGATGGATTCCTTTCTCACATTGAGGTCCTTCATCCATTTTGAGTCTATTTTCATGTGTGGTGTAAGGAAATGATCCAATTTCATTTTTCTGCATGTGGCTATCCAATTTTCCCAACACCATTTATTGAAGAGGCTTTTTTCCATTGGACATTCTTTCCTGCTTTGTTGAAGATTAGTTGACCATAGAGTTGAGGGTCTATTTCTGGGTTCTGTATTCTGTTCCATTGATCTATGTGTCTGTTTTTGTGCCAGTACCATGCTGTCTTGATGATGACAGCTTTGTAATAGAGCTTGAAGTGCGGAATTGTGATGCCACCAACTTTGGCTTTCTTTTTCAATATTCCTTTGGCTATTCATGGTCTTTTCTTGTTCCATATAAGTTTTAGGATTATTTGTTCCATTTCTTTGAAAAAAAAATGGATGGTACTTTGATAGGAATTGCATTAAATATGTAGATTGCTTTAGGTAGCATAGACATTTTCACAATATTTATTCTTCCAGTTCAGGAGCATGGAACATTTTTCCATTTCTTTGTGTCTTCCTCAATTTCTTTCATGAGTACTTTATAGTTTTCTGTGTATAGATTCCTAGTATCTTTGGTTAGGTTTATTCCTAGGTATCTTATAGCTTTGGGTGCAATTATAAATGGGATTGACTCCTTAATTTCTCTTTCTTCTGTCTTGTTGTTGGTGTAGAGAAATGCAACTGATTTCTGTGCATTGATTTTATATCCTGACACTTTACTGAATTCCTGTACAAGTTCTAGCAGTTTTGGAGTGTCATCTTTTGGGTTTTCCACATATAGTATCATATCATCTGCGAAGAGTGATAGTTTGACTTTTTCTTTGCTGATTTGGATGCCTTTAATTTCCTTTTGTTGTCGGATTGCTGAGGCTAGGACTTCTAGTACTATGTTGAATAGCAGTGGTGATAACGGACATCCCTGCCGTGTTCCTGACCTTAGAGGAAAAGCTTTCAGTTTTTCTCCATTGAGAATGATATTTGCGATGGGTTTTTCATAGATGGCTTTAATAATACTGAGGTATGTGCCCTCTATCCCTACACTTTGAAGAGTTTTGATCAGGAAGGGATGCTGTACTTTGTCAAATGCTTTTTCAGCATCTATTGAGAGTACCATATGGTTCTTGTTCTTTCTTTTATTAATGTGTTGTATCACATTGATTGATTTGTGGATGTTGAACCAACCTTGCAGCCCTGGAATAAATCCCACTTGGTCGTGGTGAATAATCCTTTTAATGTTGCGACAACGTGGATGGAACTAGAGGGTATCATGCTTGGCGAAATAAGTCAATCAGAGAAAGACAACTATAATATGATCTCTCTGATATGAGGGAGAGGAGATGCAACATGGGGGGTTAAGGGGGTAGGAGAAGAGTAAATGAAACAAGATGGGATTGGGAGGGAGATAAACCATAAGTGACTCTTAATCTCACAAAACAAACTGAGGGTTGCTGGGGGGAAGGGGGCTGGGAGGGGGGGTTGGGGTTATGGACATTGGGGAGGGTATGTGCTATGGTGAGTGCTGTGAAGTGTGTAAACCTGGCGATTCACAGACCTGTACCCCTGGGGGAAAAATATATGTTTATAAAAAATAAAATTAAAAAAATATAAACAAACAGCATCCATCATGACCTCTATGGGATCAAGAGGCATGGTTCCATATAACTAGAAGGACTGCTGCAAATATATTATATGAAAAGATTTATATGGAAATTTTCTGTTGTAAGAATGAGAATTACACATTTGGCCTTACGAACACAATGCTTTCATTATACTGAGCTCTGCAACTTCATCCGGGACTACATAAAATACATCTCTCCAGATGTGTTCACATGTCCTAACACTTTCATATTTTCCATGATTTTAAGTGTCTACTCAAGACTTTCTTCAGAGCCTCTTTCACCTCCTTATTCCTCAGGCTGTAGATGATGGGGTTCAACATCGGGGTTACCACTCCATAAGACAGTCCAATGATTTCATCAGATGCTTTTGTGTCCTTTGACTTGGGCTTCATGTACATAAAAAGAGCTGAACCATAGAATAAGATAACCACAGTGAGGTGGGCTGAACAGGTAGAAAAAGCTTTCTTTCTCCCCTCAGTAGAATTAATTCTCAGGATGGAAGAGAGGTTAAAAATATAGGAGATGAAAATTAACAGCAGAGGAATCACCAGTAAAACAATACTTGCCGCTGTCATGATAAGCACGTTCATGGAAATATCTGAGCATATGAGTTTAAGAAGGGCCAGGATCTCACAGGTAAGATGATCAATAGTGTTATTTCCACAGAAAGGCAACACCATTGTCAGGGCTGTTTGCACTAAGGAATTCATACAGCCTATGATCCAGGACCAAGCAGCCATGTGCACATAAAGCACTCTGTTCATGATGATGGGGTACCTCAGTGGGTTGCAGAGGGCCACAAAGCAGTCATAGGCCATCACAGCCAAGAGGACACACTCAGTGGAGCCCAACCCAAGGGAGGCAACCATCTGCAGAGCACAGCCAATGAAGGAGATGGATTTTGTCTCGGACCTAAATATGATGAGCATTGGAGGAATGGATGATGATGTATAACAGATGTCCAGGAATGAGAGGTTCCTAAGGAAGAAGTACCTGGGAGTGTGGAGGCAAGAATCCAGTATGCTGATGATAATGAGGAGACAGTTTCCCAGGAGGATTATCACATACATGATGAGGCAGAGAAAGAACAGAAAAAGCTGGAGTTCTGGGTATTTGGAAAGTCCCACCAGGAAGAATTCAGTGACCGCTGAGCAATTCCCCATCTGCATGTGCCTGTGTCGCTTGTGGAGTTCAGATAATTATATGACTTCAGGAAATTTAAATTTATAATTTAGTTTAAAACATCACTTTTACCTGCAATATTTTGATTTTTCATTCAGCTCTGGGTATCAGGAAAGGCATGGATACAATTTTAACTTTATTGATGATGAAAGTGAAGCACTGAGAGATTCAGTACTTTGTAGGGCCGTGCAGTAGCAGAGGCAAAGCTACCAATAACCCCGAGAATTGTGCTGTGAAGTGTCAGGCCTCTAATAAAGTAATAGGGACAACATTATTCTAAATGTACATATAAATCTCAATATTAATGAATATTCTGAAATAAAATCTTTTAAAAATGAAGCTGGTTCTATTTTTAAAATAATACATCATGAACAGTTAACACCATGCCATTTAGCTTTGTGTGTGACTTTCAGTTGGTTCATGGTAAGATGTGGGAAAGAAATAACTTTGGCAATTTGTTGTGAATGTTAAATTACATGAAATATCTGAGGTGCCTATAATAATACATGGTTAAAACACTGTATCTGTAATTATAATACTTGTATAATTATATCATTGATTATAATTATTAAGTTTCTTGACTGACTCAGAAAAATTTATTTAGTGTGTTTAAGGTGATAGCACTAAAGTTTGAGGTCCTAATGGACAGACTCTGAATATTTTCTTGTCTCAGATTGACATATATCTATTCTTCTTTTAAGGATCAGTCTAGAATTAATCTGGAACTATTTGAGATGGATGCAAGGAGCATCCAGGGATTAAGTGGCCTGGGTCCACATTAGTACAATTTTTTTCAGAACTTGGCTTTCTCCTATGTCAGTATAAGTTACTTGTATTCCTAGTCTTTCCTAACACATGTATTCTTCTAAATTCTGTAATTATTCTCTTCTTTCTTTGTCACCAAAATCCTTGATGCAGATTTTATATTTTTTCATGCAAGTTAATATACTAAAATACTAATATTTAATGTTAAGTAACTTTTTCTCTTAATCTTTGTATGTGCTATGTTGGAATGCATCTCTGTGTCTTTTTCTTCTTTTTTAAAAAAGAGTTCACTTATTTATTTATTTGGCACAGAGAAAGCATAAGTAGGGAGAGCAGCAGGCAGAGAAAGAGGGAGAAACAGGCAGCCTGATCTGGGGCTTGATCCCAGGACCCTGGGATCATGATCTGAACCAAAGGCAGGCACTTAACCAGCTGAGTCACCCAGGTGCCCAGGTAGGGGCACGTGGGTGTGGTCTATATTATTTTTATTTTATTCTATTTTATTTTATAGCAAGAAACCTTCTGATAATGAACATAAACTGTGCTTATAACAGTTCCTGAAACAAAGATTTTATGACTCTTGGTAAGTATTCATATGGCTGGCCCAATAATAGCTAGCTAATATTTATTGAGAACTAATTCTGTGCAAGGCACTGTCAAAAGAACTTTACCCTATTAACTAATTTAATATTCATTGCAAACCTATGAGGTAAGTAATTTGTATAAGAGCAGTATGAGATACTGTTATTATCCCCATTTTACAGAGGAGCAAACAGATAAATGGAAGTTAAATATTTTCCCCAACATCTTGTAACTAGAATCAGGATTTAATAACTGGCAGTGTAGATCAAGAATCGGCCTTTCTATCACAACACTACAGTACCTATTACAGATCCTCTTTTTTACCTCCGAAAATGCTACGTGGTCCTCAGGTGTGTTGAAATTAAACACTCTTGCCTTGTTTTTTCTACCCCACATTGATCTTTCCATGTATAAGTTACTATGATATACATGGTTAATACCATATGAAAACTCAGCTGTGCTCCCGTTGTTTTGTATTTGTCTTATACAGTACTTTCAAGAAGACTCTCCTGCAACCAGACTGTCATCCCTAAATGTGGCTAATATAGAACTTCTGGAGCAACTAGTGACCATTCTTCCCATGCTCTATCATAGCCATACTGAACTCCTTACAGTTTACCCTAAACATCATTCTTGTTCTTCTCTGTGCTTTTGTAGATGCCCTCATCTTAAACTGGAAAGGCCCCTCCCCATTATTACCTTTTTCTAAAAAACCTTCCTGAACTAGTTTGGGTAGGATTCCCATTTTGAGAGCTTTCACAGAACTGTGCTACCTCTCTCATAGAAACTTTCATTTATTCGACTTTTAGCACAGTAGATACTGTAGTTTTATTAGAAATTCAGTTGGGATAAAGATAGACACTGATCTTCAAAATAGACACTAGACACAGATTACTTAGGAAAGAGGTTATACTTTCTGGAAACAAGTAATTTCTGTGCCACACAAAGAGTTTAATGTCCAAAAAATTATGGAACAGCTTTCAAGTCATTTTATCAAGCTAAAATAACTTTTATACCCCAGGTGTCAAAGACAAAATAAAACTGTGGTTTAATCTCATTTAAATATACCTGTAAAAACCATAAATAAATATAAAACCAAATCCAACTGTATAATAATTTCATAAATTCAAGACACTTCAAATTAATATTTAGAAATTGATCAGTATAATATGGCAAACAAATTGGTAAATAAAAAACCCTATATGATCATCCAGAGAGATAAATAAAATCATTTGATGGAATTCAATTTTCTTTCTTTCTTTTTTTTTTTAAGATTTTATTTATTTATGTGACACAGAGAGAGATACAAGTAGGGAGAGGACAGGCAGAGACAGAGACGAGGAAGCAGGTTCTCTGCTCAGCGGAGAGCCCAATGCGGGGCCCGATCCCAGGATCCTGAGATCATGACCTGAGCCGAAGGCAGAGGCTTTAACCCACTGAGCCACCCAGGTGCCCCTCAATTTTCTTTCTAAATAAGAATTTAATAATTAGACATGAGCCAACTTGATTTTAAATGATGAAACTCTGTATTTCCCTAAAAGTCACTCTATGATTACTTTTATCATTATCATCATCCTCATCATCATTATTTAATAATTATTTTTCTGAAATATCTAACCAACAGATAGTCATAATTTTTTTCTAAGGGTTCTGGAAATTGGGCGCTTGAGTGGCTCAGTTTTTTAAGTGTCCATCTTCAGCTCAGGTCATTACCCCAGGGTCCTGGGATCAAGTCCCACATCTGGTTTCCTGCTCAGTGGAGAGTCTGCTTCTCCCTCTGCCCTTCCCCCCTGCTCATCATCTTTCTCTCTCTCTCACTCTCTCTTTCAGATAAATAAAATCTTTTTTTTTTAAGATTTTATTTATTTATTTGTCAGAGAGTGAGCACAGGCAGATGGAGTGGCAGGCAGAGGCAGAGGGAGAAGGAGGCTCCCTGCTGAGCAGGGAGCTGGATGTGAGACTCGATCCCAGGATGCTGGGATCATGACCTGAGCCGAAGGCAGCCGCTTAACCAACTGAGCTACCCAGCCGCTTAACCAACAGGCGTCCCAGATAAATAAAATCTTAAAAAAAGTTTTAAAAAGGATTCTGGGAATCTGGTATGTGGTGATAGGACATATTATATAATATGTGAAGAAACATACCTTCTTTTGTTATACCATTGAAAAGTTTAGTTTTGCTGGACACCTGGGTGGTTCAGTCAGTTGAGCGTCTGACTCTTGGTTCCGCTCAGGTCGTGATCTCAGGGTCATGAGTTGAGCCCTGTGTCAGACTCTGCGCTCAGCAGAAGTCTGCTGGAGAGATTCTCTCTCTCCCCACTCTTTCCTCTTCTATTTCTCCCCCTGCGCACACTCTCCCTCTCTCAAATAAATAAATAAAACCTTAAAAAAAAAGAAAATTGCAGTCTTGGAGAATAGTTGATGACAAAGAAAAATGCTCATCATATGATATTATCAGATTAAAAAGTCTCACACAATATAAATTATCCTATACGTGCATTTTGTATACATGTAGCTGAAAGAAACCTCATCAAAATATTAGCTATGGTTTTCTTTATCAGATTTGGTTGTGAGGTAGTTAAAATTTTCTAAACTTTTACATATTTTTCACATTTTTCTTTAATAAAAAAATAAAGTGCTTAATAAAACTATATTTCTGATTGTAGAAATTAAAAAAAAAAAGAAATTCTTAACAGGAAACTAGCCTGGGGCAAAGATTGATATCTCTGTATTCTTTCTAATGATTAGGAGATTACTGAAGAAGCCAAAAGGTCCAGTTATTTGTTGGCCTCAGTTTTCTCTAAAACCCAAGAAGGGAAAAGAACAGTCAGTGGACTGGAAATTGACTTGAGATGTTCTGGTGCTTTATTACATACAATAATTAATGCCTTTTAACATTCTGATTTCAGTCAATCTCACAAATACATCCACTCTGAGAAGACATAATGACACAGCCCAGTTTTTGCAAAGGGATGCCAAAGCCCACTATTTGGAATGTAACCAGGGTTAGCAACCAGGATGCAGCAATAGGATTATGTAGTAAAAAGAGAGGAGATACCTGCCTGAAACACAAGACTATTCAGAAATAGCAGGAGCTTCTGTTACTTTTGCTTCTTTTTTTTTTGTCCATAAAAAGGTAAAGTTTCAATTTCTTGGCTTTCTGAGCTTTGTTTATCTTCCCCAAAGGGCCTGTCCTTAGATTGTTTTTCACCATTGGGCCCCACCTATGCAAGGAAAGAAAATTTTGAGGCTCACGGGTCATGTGCCTCTGCTGTCTTCTACCTGTATCTATTAACAGAAGTTTGTAAATAAAGTATATAAATACATCCGGCATTTCATATTTTGCCCCGTGGGCCTCTTATATCAGGCTATATGGCAGCTATCCTGTAAAGCATCCTCAGGAGAAAATTCCTAGTACTAGGTATTGAATTCTAGTTCCAGACATAGTTTCCCCTATTGTTTATAAAGCAACTTTGTTCCTCACAATATAAAACGTCCCTCACAGGAGATCCCCAGTGCTTGTCTGAATAAATAAGCCCTATGTGCCTCAAAAGAAAATGGATAAGGTGGAATGAACAAAGGCAAAGACAAAAAGCAAAGGCCTTTTCTCCTCTTTCTACATGGTATTGAGAATTATCCTG